ATTTTAAACTAAGATATGCATCTGGCTGGTCCAGAAGTATTTCGAACTTCCAACTTTCTTTTGCGAATTCTAAATCTTCATCCTACACACAGATTACACGTGACCATATTTGATGACATTTTATTTTCAATACAAGAAAGCTTCAAGCAATCTAATCAAAGCTTTAAAATGCCTCCATATCACTTGCTACAAATTCATGGAATTTCATGCTTGTACTTAACAAACACTTTGATTTCTTGTGAATCCTCGAGCTTTCGAGACTTTTTCTTTACTACACAAACATTTTATTCTTATGTCGTACTTCCAAGAAGAAAGAATCTCAGTTACACAAGAATCAAGCAGTATGAAGAAGTTGACTCAGCGATGAATGTGAGCATGTGGAAAGAATTGTTATGAAATGAAAATAATTTTTATATTTTAAATATCGAAAAAAAAAGAATAAGATAATGAATGATGTAACCAAAATTGAAAATTAATTTGCAATGGAAAGTAGAAATCTATAAAAATTTATGAATAAGAAAAGTAGACAAAATGAATTTTTTTACGTAATCAGTTTTTGAATAAGAGATATGATAAGGGATGATATCGGTTATGTTTAAGTACAGATATAAGGATGAATATTGAGGATCCTAAAATATATTAATATCCATAAAAAAAACATTAATTGAAGGGATAATTTTTTTTACATAATCAAAATTCAAGACTTTATTCACTCACATACTAAAGTATTCATCAACAAAAGTTTGAGTTTTGAATTGGAACAAAGAAAAAGGAAATCTTTTAAAGAATATTTGAATAAAAATTAATTCCAGTGCACCTCATTTTTCACTCGTAGTTAATGTAATCAATCATAAATAATTAGTCAAGCATAATTAGGAGATAAAAGTTTAATGAAATGAAAAATAATTGAAGAAAAATACTCAAAAAAATGTATGGAAAAATATTTGAGGTATTTTTAGGATTCAGAACCGAATGTATTATGTAAGGTAGAATGAAGGACAGCCGATGGTTCATGAAAAAGTCCCAAATTGAGGGATCATTTTCAGAATCTTTTCAAAGGAAACAAAATTTAAATCTATTGAAAATTCTAAATTAAACTCCTTTCCGGAACTGGAGTAGGCGTACATCAACATGTTGGTTGAAATTATAGAAGCTTCCGTCGAGTGTAAATCTAATTGATTTTATGTCAGAAATTGGAAAAATTTCTATTAATAATAATTTTGAGGCTTAATATTCGGTTTAGTCTGATTTTAATAGGTTTAATTTCTATTAATATTCAATTATTTGGGTGTTGACGAAATTGCATGTAGGCTGCAGTCAAAAATTATAATAAGACGCTTAATATACGCTTTTCCAATGTTTTATGGTCTGTTTTTAAAAAGATCCTTCAAAGTTTTGAAGATTAATACAGAAACAAAATCTACCAAGGTCACTCCTTTATCCAACATTACAGAATTATTTTTAAAACCTTAGTAATGACTATTAAAAAGCTAGTTTCAATCAAACTTTAAAGTAGACTTTTTGAATTGAGTTTTACTTCAAACTTTCTTAAACTAAACATTTTGAATTTTTAAGCATTTGGATCCTAAAACTACCTCAAATATTCTAATCTAAATTGAATTTAAAATTCAAAATCGTAAAAAAATTAAAAAATTCGTGACAAAAAAAGAGCAAAAAATATTAAATCATTCGATAAGTAATTGGCAAATTAACATTACAATGTGTGATTGAAAATACAAATTGAACGAAAAATCATGGAAAACATAAGAAAATTAAAGTTTTCTTAGCAATTGGGAGATTATCACTGATTTGTTATGAGATTGTTGATGAAGAGTTTGTTGACAATTTTCTTTTGAAGATCTGTTTACATTTTCTTTGTTATTTAGTGTGATGTTAAAGATTGAAAGTAGAAATTACATAAGATCTTCTATTCTTTCAGTCAGCTTTCAGTTAAAGTTGTTTTGAAACTCATTCTTTGTGATTGAGTTCTTAAAGCTCGAGAAATCTAATAAAACTGAATTTTTCCAAATGATTAACTTCTTGATATTTCCAAAAATGTGTCAAAATCCTTGAATTTATTTAAAAACTCAAAGTCAAATCAAACAATGTTTGTTAACAACTCAGATCAAAACTAATTCTCTCAATTGTCAATGAAAATCTCAAAAAATTTGAATAGAAAGATATCAAAAAAAAAAGAATCTGAATGTGATGATGGGAACAATGAAGGAATGGAAAAGATCGATGGATGAATAAAAAGGGATGAGAGGGATAATACATGGATATATGAGGATCAAACAAAAAAACTAGCGAAAAAATCTAATTAAATTAAAAAAATACACACATTTTTCTTTCTGAAGAATCATTGACATTATAAAGTTACAAAAGAATGGTGCCTTTATCAACGAATGACTACTATGAGAACAAAAAAAAAATATAAAACAAACCATAATTGAAATATGTAGTATTTCATACAATTATTAGCAAAAGAAAAAGTGGACGCAAGGATATTAATAAACAAATATGAAAGCAGCTAAGGAATTAACTTCAACTACGTTCATCTCCAAAGTTTTTACATCATTTTTCGAGAAATGATTTGAAGAATGAAATAAAAAATGTAATTAAGAAAATTTAAAAAAAATATTTTGATACTTTTGTATGGGAACAAAAAAAAATATAATTAATGCTGTGGGTTTGGTCGAATCATTTTTCGAAAAATAGATATGTTAAGTTATACAAAACAAAAAAGAATATTAAGTAAAGGATATTTAGAAACAAGTCGTATAGAAGCTGCAGTAAATTAATAAGAGAAGCCTTATTATGTAGAAAAAAATACAAAAAAAAGATATTTTTCAGTAAAAATGATATAGAGTAAAATTTTGACATAACTAAGGCACGCATTATGCAAAATATTAACGGAAAACTACAGCGTTTTCATATGAAAAAAAAACTATTATTAATTATTTTAATTAAGATTATAAACAAATTTTATGGTATGAGACGGAGAATTAAATTTATTAATTAAGAGTGACCTGGACAGCAAAAGAGAAAAATATTGAAAATATTACAGAAATCGAATAGACAAGAAAATAGAATGGAAGATTTTTTTTGAGTTTTTGGGGGTACATAGGGGATGATTTGGAACATATTGACACCTGCTCATGACCCTACTCTAGGTTCTATCCTTGGAATTACTTCTAGGGTATTTGTAAGAATAGAATAGAGCTAAAAACCTCGTGTCATCCAATATACATCAGCTCCCCCTTTAAAATACCCACAAGCTTAAAAACAAACTTCAAAGAAAACACAAAATAAGAAAATTCAAATTCGGATTATTAATTATTGGAATTTTATGCAATTTCGACTTGAAAAAAAATTTTATCACAAATTTAATAAGAAAATTTTCATTAATCGGGTATTCAAAAACCAAAATGTCCAATGTTCAATGTTTTCAAAAAAGATTTAAAAACTAAAAAAATTCTCTTTTTTTCTTGTTCATCACCTTCCAGGTCCCTAAAAATCAACCAAACACACAAAAAAAACACTCACTCACAAAAATTTAAAATTATATTTAAAAAAAAATTGAAAAAAATTTATTGTCGTGAAACGAATGACAAGTAAAAAAAATTAGAAAAATAACCCTATAACTTTGTAGCACTAGCGTATGCCTGTAGTTTACAGATGAGCTTACGTCCTTACGTTAAACTAAATCACAGCTGTAGTTTATTAAGCTATAAACACCAGCTGTATTTACAGCTGTATGCTATTTAAGCACAAAAAACTACAGCTGTAATTTAATTTTTACGTAAAGATGTAAGCTCATCAGTAATCTATATTTGTAATCCAATTACAGCTGTAAGTAAGTGCTAAATAGTATGGGGTAAAAAATATATATTAATTAAATTCACTTATTTTTCTTCTTCGCCTGGCATTCCGTTTTTAATGTGATTTTTTTATATAATGATGATAAGATGGTGAATCTGTAGAGTCTATTTTAATTGATTGATAATTTATTATAGGTTAGAATTGTTGTTGTTTTGAGGTTAAGATTTTCAAGGTTATATATTCCGGATAAAAATGGTTCAAAACTATTTAAATATAAGTACTAGATTAGAAAATTAGAACTCTAATGTGAACATTGAAATTGTAACCTCAAAAAATTCAAAAATAAATTTGTAACCTCAAAAATTAACTTCAATAACAACAATTCCAGCTTTTAACAAATGTCCTTCTTAAATGCAACATTCGTTTTATGATTATAACCTTAAAAATTAGATAATAATAAATGTTTATTAATTTTTAAATTTTTGTTGTTTTTTATATAATTGAAAAAGTATATATATTTAGATATTCTACCTATAAGCTTCGTTATTAAACAAGAAAAAAGTGAGTAAAACTCAATAATAGATCAATTTTATACAATATTATAGTAAAAAGTTTGTTTTTTAAGTTAAATTTTATATTTTTTCTTGCAAGTTGTTGATAATTTTTTTACGAAAGGAATTGAAAGAAAATTAAGTAAGAAATTTTCATCCAATGATCGATATTAATGTTTCAATAAAGAAAGTTTTCATTAGTAGTATAAATTTCATGTGTTATGTATTTAAAAAATTAATATAAAAAATGAGGAAAAAGTGAAAAGAAATGGAAATTTTTACAAAAATGAAAAATTTATATGTTAAGGAAAGGATGAAAGGATGAGACAAAAAAACATTATTCTATACTGTATGTAATTAATATGTTATTAAATTAAAACTATATTAAATAAAAATGATTTAAAAATTCAGATTTGTTGTTTTATGGAATATTCTGTGCATTTTCTATTCACCATGTGAATTTTCAGCCTCTAATGCTGATTTACAGAAATATCGAAATTGCGACCACGTGTTGCTCAAAATAACGATCAATTTTCAAATTCAGTTCAAAACCGTTGATATAAAGTACTCAACCCCGGTACAATTCAAATTTTTAAAAATACCGTTGAAAACATTCATAACCGTGGAAATAATTTCAAATTGTTGCTCCCGCCGTTTTTGTTCAAAAACAAAAAATTAAAACAAGCAAAAATATATAAAATTTTGTTAATTAAACGTAATTTAAGGCAATACTAATGGGAAGGAAGAGAACAAAAAGTCAGGCATCGACTGCTGATGACAGTGACGATGAAGGAACATCCAAAAGAAGTAGAATTAATGACGATAAGGTAAGTTTTCAAAAATTGTGAAATTTTAATGCTCACTGGATCTTTTTGAATGAAATCCAGTGATATTAAGCTTATAAATGAATAATTGATGCGGTCGGGATCATTTTTGCAAGATCCATTAGACATAATTTTACAATATAACTTAATTCAGTTCAATTTGCAGGAAAATTTGGTACAAAACACAAGAAATGCACTTCAAAATTACCGTACTGTAAAATTAAGAGATTTAGAGAATAAAATACATGCAAATCTAAGAAGTGGAAAAATTAAAAAGATTTATCTCCAAAACTTTATGTGTCATGCCAATTTTGAAGTAGATCTCAATAAATGCATCAATATTATTGTTGGACTAAATGGAAGTGGAAAATCAGCAATACTTACAGCAATAGCAATCGGTTTAGGTGGAAAAGCCTCATCTACAGCACGTAGTACAAGTCTAAAGGAACTTGTCAAACGTGGAGAACCGTCAGCAACAATAGAAATAACCCTAGCTAATGACGGTCTCGATGCTTATGAACATGATGTTTATGGAGATGAAATCATTATAGTTCGTACAATTAATGCTAATTCTGGCGCATCAGCATACAAAATAAAAAGTCAAAATGGCAAAACAATTTCCACAACACGTCAGGATTTATTAAAAATGTCATTATGCCTTAATATCCAAGTAGAAAATCCAGTTTTAATCCTTAATCAAGATGCAGCTCGTTCATTCCTTAAAGAATGTGATCCAAAGAAGCTTTATCAGTTCTTCATAAAGGCAACACAAATTGAGGCAATTATTGAGAAACTCAATGGATGTTTTGTAACAGCAGTTTCGTCCAAGAATCAGCTAGCAAATGTCGAGACAGCTATGAAGAGATATGAAGTTGACATTGAAGCAATCAGACAAAAAATATCACGACTTTCATCCGTACGATCATTAAAGGAGAAAATTGAAGAATATAAGAATGAAACTGAATGGATTCGTGTGAAATTAATAGAACAGGAATTAGCTACATCGAACACAAATTTGGCTACAAAGCGCGAAGAAGTTCGCAAGATTTCAGATTTAATAAATAATAAAGAGAAGTATGAGAAGGAAAATCGTTTAAAAATCCGTGAATTAGGCACAACATTTCAGCAGCTTCAATTTGAGAGTGAAAATAACAATGTGAGGCATGAAACAGCACGTAAGGACTATGAAACGGAACGCAACAAGTTAAGTGGGTTCGAAAATATACATAAATCATATATAGATAAGCTAGCTACACGAGTCATGCCAAATATCCAACTATTAGAAAATGACATAGCTGAACATGAGAATAATCCATCAAATGTTGAAAATTTACGCCTGGAAAATGAGGCACAAATTGAAAATGTCGAGAAGAAAATCAGTGAAAATGCAGCAGTTCTAAGTAATTATAAACGTGACTTCCAAATGTTTATGCAGACATCTCATGACGAAAAAGAAAATGTAGAGGAATTAAGAGCACATATGCAGCGTGAACAAACCAAAATCATTCAAAATGATCAGCAAATTCATCAATTAGAGAATGCAGGCAAAGATACTTTATCAGTTTATGGAGCATCGGCTGGACGTCTCTTAAAAGAAATAGAATCAATGTACAAACAAAGGAAATTTACTCAACTACCTAAAGCCTTTTTAGGTAGATATATTGAAGTACCTGACCGGAAATATCGTCAAGCTGTTGAGACAATTTTACGTAATTATTTAACATCCTTTATTGTTAATTGCGATAAAGATCGATTGGTGCTCGCTGAGGTCCTCAAAAAGTATAATGACTTACAAAAGATTCAAATCATCACAACGGAATTTGTCAATAAAGTTTATGATGTAAAACGTGGAATGGTCAATTTGCAATCGCCTGGTGCTGTGTTATTTAATGTTATTAAAGTCTCCGATCCAGTTGTGATGAATTGTCTTATCGATCAGTGTCGTATTGAACGAATTGTGCTGGTCGAGAATACAGAAAGTGCAATTCACTTGACGAATGATGAAAGATCTGTGCCTAAGAACCTTAATCGAGTCGTACTGCTTAAACCATTGTCAGATTATTATCCAGCACCAAATTATCGTTCATATTCTATTCGTGAACAGCCATTAAGATACATTCAAACTAATTTTACTGAAGTTATTAAGGATTTAAAGCGAAAGAAGGAAGCTTTGGAAGGAAAGTATGAAATGATCCGGAATCAAGTTCGTGTAGTGAATGCAAAAGTACAAGAATTTGATAAATATGCGAATGAGAAGAAACGTCAAATGTTTGAGTTGCAGAATAAAGAGAAACAATATTATAGAGAGTTACAGGAATTAAAAGCAGTCGAATTTCCAGATAATCCAGACATTGACTTCCTTCGAACACAACTAGAAGAAGAAAAGAAGCGAAAAGCTGCTTTTGAGAAGAAAATTGAAGAATCTAAAGAAAAACTCTTTCAATTTAGGGCTGTCGTTGATAATTTTAGGCAGACCATGGAGGAAACGCTTAAGTTGTACCGCGAAAGTCGCGAAAATATGCAAAAAGTTCAGCAGGAAAATGACAAATTACAAAAAAGTCTAAATTCGATGAAAAATGAAATTGAAACAAAAGGACGACAAATTAAAAATTTACAGGAAGATGAGAAGGCAATCGATCAAAAAGTAAAGGAATTAGAGAATCAGGTTCGAGCTATGACTGGAAGAATTAAAGGGAAACGTGTTGATTCTCATCGTACGGAAGATGAGCTCGAAAAGGCAATAAAAATTACTGAGAAGAGAATTCAAGGGATCGAGTCGACAAATGAGAACATCGAGGATGTTGAACATTTGCTCGATAGTAAAATGCAGCTGCTGGAAAATACGAGAAACATACACAGAGCTTTGGATAATGTGCTGAAGAAAGTGAGTGTAATTATTGATTGATTTACTGTAAAAGCAGAACAAAATCCTTTTTGGCTTTACACTGAACACCCCCCCCCCCCCCCCCCCCCCCCTTATGGGCCCATAACCAGTAGTTATTGATCATTAACGGACTTTGCAGATTTAAATTTTGTCACAATTTGTTCACTAGTCCAAAGTTCTTTTCATTTCAATTCAAATTTGAATTTTACAAAACTGTTGAATTTCAAATTCCTAAAAATCGTTAAAGATATTTTTCATTTTAGCTAACCAGCCTTCGTGAAAGTCGCTACATGTATGTTCGTAAACTACGTCAACACATGTCACTGAGGATGAAGCATAAATTCCATCAATTAATGCAACTACGTAATTATTCAGCAGAAATTGAAATTGATCATAAAGAACAAAAGCTACAGCTTAAGATTATTCCAAGAGATGGTGAAGTTGAAGGCGCCGTATCCAATACGAAGGCATTATCGGGTGGAGAACGTTCATATTCAACAGTTTCGTTCCTTTTATCACTTTGGAGTTGTGTTGATCATCCATTTTACTTTCTTGATGAATATGATGTGTTTTCGGATGAATATAATCGACACATGATGACTAAGTTGTTGTTAAATGAGGCAGAAAAGAAAAAGGACAAACAATTTGGATTTTTAACGCCACAAGAATTCTCGAATGTGTCTGCAACGGATTCAGTTACTATTCATAAACTACAAGACCCAGAACGACATAATTCGTGAACCATAAAAAGATTATTATTTCGTTATTAACCTTTTTTTACGCACAAATGAATGAATTTATATTTTGAAGAACATTTTCATGAATAAAGAGATTTAAAAAACAAAAACAAATCAAGGCAAAAACAAAATAAAATGTATTTCAATGCCCTTCAGAAATCTGAGCAACTTACTAGATTTTGTGTCCGTCATTATTTGCGGAAGTGCTATTTTCAAGGTGAACTTTTTAAATTTTAAAACTTAACGGATAAATTAAATTTGAATGTTTGAAACATTTGTAAGGTTTTCAGTGAAATTTTGAAACATTTGAGATGTTTTCACTAGAATTTTGAAACATTTATAAGGTTTTCGTTCCAACGCGTTAGTAAGCAGTGATTTTGAGAATCATAGCAAGCATACAGCATACATACATTGTGAACTATACGAGTCCACAAAAAAGTAGTTTCCCTCATTTTTTTACAATTCAGTGAAAGTATTTTTTTGTACAAAATAGACGTGAAAAGAAGGAAATGGATTAAAAAGTATAGTTGTGAATTTAATTAATAAATCATCTAGATAGTTGAAAATAGAGAGGAATACATCTATTCTAATTTAAGCTGTGATTAAATGAATGTGAAAAAGTGTAAAACAAGGAAATAAGTAAATAAATAGAAAATGGATTCAAATAGCTGGATTCACTGCATTGTTATTGTGGATTTTGAAATTGAAAAAGGTCAAATAATCGAGACTATACATCCACCTGAAAATACAATATTATCAGATACAGAGAGGAACAATCTGGTTTATATGGCATTTCCTGATTCAAACTCAAATTGTATGGGAGATACAAAGTTTCATATATGCTTAAGAACTATGAAGAAGTTATCAGATCAACATAGACTATACAATCGTGAATGCAAGCAGGATCTTAAAGCAGATATCGGTCATTATTGGGGCTATGTATTCTTTAGACAAGTCAAAGATCCAACGAGTAAACGAGGCTACTTTCAGAAATCATTTGTTCTTATTACCAGACTTCCATTCCATAACTTTTTCTCGGAACTTGTAAATAGATGGGCACCTTTATACTTTAAAAGTGGAATATCAGCACTGGAACAAGGATATGATCAGATATTGTCATGGCCAAAATTAATTACAAATACTCCACTACAACTTCCTATATTAGGATCAATTTATCAATTGTATATAGCAGCAAATCGTAATCAATCAGATAGCACAAGTAGCACAACGACGACAGAGACAGAAGACGTTACAAATAATAATAATAGTCAATCATCATCAGCAACGACGACGATACCAATAACAATTAATTCACCAAATGAAATAGACATCTTTGGACCTGTACATACGATTATTCATCACATCCAATTAATGTGGGAATTAATCTTAATTGCAGAACCGATCGTCATTATTGCTCCATCTCCAACTGATTCTTCTTTATTGGTACAAGCTTTAACGAATCTTATTGCTCCACTTGAGTATTTACCTGAAGTAAGTTATCTAGCTTTTCATGTACGATATTAGTCGAAAAATTAAATATTTGGAATTGAATCGTGCTAATTGTATTGCTTACTCGTGGGATTTTTAGAAATTTTCTGGGAATTTTCAATTGTGTCACATGAAAATTGATAAAGTTTCTTGTTGGGATGTGCCTCATAATCGTTTCTATGGTTTTGTTTGTGTCACAGAATTACCTAAACATGTATCATAATGTGACTTTTTACTTCTGTGACGTAAAAGCTGCTTGAATAACAAGAGCATTCTTTTGTTTACAATAAGTTGTATGACTTTTGAATATGACGTAAATTTGCTGGGATTATTTCTGTGTGGGTTGATTGGCTGAAAGGATAATTGACTATATAAGGACTTGATTTGCATATTTGAGGCAATGAAAAATTTTAAAATTTAACGGAAAAGCAAGATTTAAAATCTTTAGGTTCAATTTTTGAACTACAATTGAAATTTTAAAATTCCGTTATATTTTAAATTTTCAATTTCCGTTAAGTTTCTACTTTTAAATTCCTAAAAAGCTCACAATATAAGTCAATATCAACAAGTAGCACAACTACAAAGCTCAGTGTCAATAATATAATTTATCTAATTCAAGAGAAGTTTCAAGCCCCGCGCACAAAAACATGGAAAATTTATTATTAAATTAATTAAAGTGTCCAAGTCGTTATTAGTTGAAAAAACCTTCTAAGTAAGTGCCAAGGGTTGTGTTTTCCTCAAGGACAATGAGGAAAGCCAAAAGAAAGCAAGATTTGTCGCCAAAAATTGATTTGAACGAAAGTTCAAGCAAATCTAATGAAAATTCCAAGAAGAGGAAGCAAACGCCTCAGAAAGAGGAATCATCGGTTCCAGTCACAACAACAACTTCAGTCAAGCCAATATTTGTGCAATGCAGTCTCAAGGATGTGAGAAAATTAATTTCACTATTGAAATTGCAGGTTATGCCTGCATATAAAATTTCATCATCAAATACAACTCAAGTAATTGTCAAGTCTATTGAGGATAAGGCCTCAATAATAAACCTTCTGCGGTCTCAAACTATTCAATTCCACACCTTCTCCGAGAAATCGGAGAAAACAAAGTCATTCGTTCTGAAAGGATTTTACGAAACACCAACGAATGAAGTACTAAGATTACTTCAAGAAGCCAAGGTTTCAGCTGTCAAAGTGACAATTCTCGTCAAGAAGCCCGAGTTCACCTTTTATCTTGTGCATTTTCAAGATGAAAGTGTGAACATCAACGTGCTTAATCATAACCACCGGAACATCGACAACATCATCGTCAAGTGGGAGAACATCAAGAAGGGCAACAAAAGCCCAACGCAGTGCTTCAACTGCCAACGTTGGGGTCACTCATCTCAAAATTGTGGATATAAATTCCGATGCGTCAAGTGCACGGAAGTTCACGGACCAAATCAATGTCAACGATCCACTCGTGATGGAAATGCCAAGTGCATTAATTGCAATGGCGATCATGCTGCCAGTTATAGACTGTGCCCATCGTTCATTTCGTATTCCAAAAGAATCGAAAAGTCAAGAGCCAAACCACAACTCAAAATGCTGCCACAGATATCAAGTCTTTTGGACAGTAACAATTTTCCATCGTTAAGCAAACGACATCAAGTTTCTGCTCATTCACATCCAGTGAATGCTGCAAGTAACTCATCAGCAACATTTAAAGAAGAGATTAATCAGCAACAACTGATCAATAATATCAGTTATGCAGAGAAACTCAACGAAGCAGTAAAGAATGAAAGCCTTTTCAAGAAATTCACAGAAGCTCAAGAACGTCTAAAGAGAATCCCCAACATTGAAGAAGCAATAAATCAGTTCTGCAGTTTCGTAGACGAAGCCGGAAAGATCCCAAAGGATGCACCTCAAGGAACTGCATTTAAAATCATGGTGAAGTATGGCTTCATGAGCTGCCCACCAGCACCGAACAAGCCAGTTCAAAAATAATTTATTAACGTAGTTCATAAGCTTAAAAAAAAAGCTTTTTTTTTTTTTTTTTTTTTCTCGCTCGGCAACTTTTTTTAAACTTTTTATGCCACATTTTAATGATATATGTAAATCTCACTCATCAAAATTAATAATTAATCAAGATATAGTTGAATTAAAGCCATATTCAGGCTGGTGTCAAAATAAGACTCAAAGAAATGTAACTTAAACTACAATAATTCCAAATTTGAAATAAAGAAAGATTTATTCATTATCTAATTCAAAAATCGTGTAAATTTACTACTTTCTGAATATTTGAGTGTCACATACATACAAACTTAATTATAATTAGTCTCATCACGATACTAATCGTGTGACTAATGTATTCATATAATCCAATTGAAGTTGCTATGTTGCGTATGTTCTTTAATTAATGTTCTTATTGTTTAATTTTAGATCTTTCCATACTTTACAATCCACAATGCTGAATTTCGTGAATTTGCAAGTTCAACATCACCACCGTCTGTTATTTTAGGCTGTACAAATCCATATTTTGCCAAAACGTTATCAGCATGGCCACACACAATTCGTATCAATGAATCACTTCAAATTGATCATCCAGTTCCGCATAGAAAGTTAGAACGTGTCAAAAGTCTTCAAAAATTGCTTATGGACAATTCTGGCTCAATTTATACACAACATCGTCCATTTTTGCAGAAAGATAAAGCATTTGTGAAAAAGATATTGAATGGTGTCAAAACTAGACGACCAACAGCTGTACAAAGTATAATATTGAGACGATACTTCCTAGAATTGACACAAAGTTTTATGATTCCACTCGGTGAGCTCTCAGCTTGTTATTAATGCTATGTCGATTTATCTTAATTCATCATATTATTTTAGAACGATACATGTCAAGTCTCATGCCATTAGCTAAGGATATTTCAGCATTTCGTGCTCCACCCGTTCCTACTCAATTTAAAGAGGATACATTCTTAGGAACTTTAGAATTATTCGGTCCACAACTTACTTCGACTGTCAAGGGAGATTTTGAAGGACTTTATAAGAAATTCTTCAGGTCATCAAACTTTCGTGGATGGTATGAGGCGAGAAGAACGGAGCAAATTGAGAAACTTGAAGCACTTCATCAAGAAGCACTGGCCAAAGAAGATTTTAAGAAATGGATGAGAGGGAAGCAGGAAGTTGAAATTGTCGATATGATACTGTGTATTAAAAATAAATTACAACTTCCTGTCAATTCAAACTCCACATTAACTCCTGTTGAACCTGGTAAGAGCATAGTTTGATGATTGATTACATTTAAGGATTTCAGTGATTTTTATAGCAAGTTTTAAATGTTAACGGTTTTTATAGAAAAGTTTTGGAATTTTAACGGTTTTTTAGCAAGTTTTAAGTGTGAACGGTTTTATAGCAAGTTTTTGAATATTAGCTGTTTTTATAGCAAAATTTGAAATTATTTTTTGGAGTTAAAAATTGCTTCTTAATCGAGTTCTACATCCTTTAAAACCCTCAAATCTCTGCTCCATAAATTCACAAAACCGTATCAAACCAATAAATTAATAAAACATTTTCAATTTCCTCTTTTCAGCCATCAATGTAACAATCAAGAAAGAAGTAAGAGAATTGCTAATGGTGAAGCTAGACGACTTAATAGCAAGCTTACCAGACGACTTGAAGACAATTCTCAATTGATTTTTTAGTGTAAATTTTTAAGTTTTATTCAAATATTCATAAATGTGATTGAGGGCTGCTTGATAATGATTTGTGTGACGCAAATGGATTGATGATTTTTGGGACTATTAGCCTTCAAAAGGACTCGTGTGTATTTAATTTTTATGATGGACATTAGGAAGTGCTACAAACTCGTGTCTTTCTCACGACTTTTATTTCTTATCAATTTTTTTTTATGATAATTGAGATTATAATTTTAAGTCATTCATTGGCAATAAATGTGAATTTTAGAAGCATGACATAAGCTTAGGACGACATATTGTTGATAATGTTTTTTTAAGCTATAGTTTATGATTGGCATTTTCCATTGTGATTAAGTTTAAATGTTTTGGAGAGTTTTTATACTGACCTAAATGCCAAGCTGGTCTTTCTGTGCTCTTTCTGACGAGATAATATTGCATTTTTAAGGAAAATCAATGAAAAATAGTCCTTGGAGATATGAATCAATATGAATGCATTATTAAAGCACAGTTTGAGATGTTTATCTTAGTCTACCTCCTATGGAGATCAAGGGCTGCAAAGATAACAGCCACCTTTTAGATTTCGTTTGTATTACTAATAGAAAAAATTAATTATGCAGCTGTGGATGTCTTGCTGTGTTGCCATTAAAGACTGTTTGATAAAGTTGGATTAAATATTTGGTTCTAAAAGGTGGGTAAGGAGGGGGGAGGGGGGGTTATGTTTTAGCCAACAGGAAATGATTGGGGATCCAAACTTGAGATAGTTCCAATATTGGGCGATTCCATGAGTGAATTTTTTTTTCTCAACTCAATTTTTTGTAAATATTTCCTTAATTAACTTCATTTAACGCCATATTTAAGATTTATTTTATTTATTATTATGGTATTTATGTATTTTAGTGCATAATCTTTTAGTTAAATCTGTCTGACAAAAGATATTTTAAAAAAACCAAACTTAATCGGTCAACTTTACAAAAAATTGATTTTTAAATTTTTATCAATATTTCTTTGAATATCCATTGTTGTGTTACAAATCTATGATAAACACACGTGAAATCGCCTGTGCTTTATAACAATATCTTATTTGTATGTCTTACTACTGTAATTAAGGAGAAAATTGGGGAAAACACCACTTAATCGGTCAACTTTCAACCGATTATTGCAAAACATATTACATATTTTTGTCAAAATGCAGCATAATTAAGACGATTAAATGCTAATAACACATGAATTGATGAATAATAAGTCTTATTTAGTGAAAACACAATGATTCAGAATCGGAAAAAATGTTCAAAAATTCAAAAATAACATATTAATTAAACTTCATCTTTTAAATGCCAGATTAAAGATCTTAACTTAAGGCATATCCTATGAAAATATCTCGTCCCAATTTGATGTCTAACTCCAGAAATCATTAATTTAATCTCACCCAAAATTTGTTTACAATTTGTGTATGAAAAAAAAATATGATTTTTTCTACTTTAAGTTGTTATTTGGATGTCTTAAAAGCAGTTGCTAGCTAATTTAAGCTTAGCTTTACATATTAAAACAACAAACTTAATAGAAATCTGCTTATTAAGCCTTAAAAATGAATTGAAATCTGAGTATTTTTACAAAACTTAAACTATTCATAAGTTAAAAAGTCTTCCAAAGACCTCTCTGAAACCTATACAAATCAATTAATTAAGCTTAAATCTATCTCCCATATTACTGGGGACATGCCGTTTGATGCCGTTTACGAGATATTTGCGATCAAAGTTTACATAAATTTTCATACAAAATTTGATCATGCACAATATTTTTTGATAAACTTTTACAAAGTTTTGGTAAAAAATCATGTTTATCCTTTATATTAAGGACTGATTTTTTGAGCAATGAACGAAAACATTATCTAGAAGATGCTAAAAGATTCAAATCAAGAGAAATTAACAAAAACTTTCAATTTTCTAATGTGTCGGAAAAGTATTGTGCACAAGGAATTTTTGAACATTTTTTCCGAATCTAAAAAGTCATTTCGAGCAAACTTCAAACAAGTCCCATCGATTTTTATCAAGCACCATCCAATCATGATGAGAATCTAATCGAAATATAATCTGACATTCAATTTAAAACATATGGCAACTCATGTAAAATATTAATAGAATTAATTTAAATTCATTGTTTTATATAAAATCATTTTAACAAAATATTAAAGGAACTGTGAAAGTTGATGACTTAACATTGAGTTTTATTTTGTGTATGTAAACAATTCTTAACCGATTCCAGTGCGCGAACGGCGATATTTTGAGGCACCAAATGGTTTTTCGGCTGAATAGTTCGTAGCTTTTCGTTGACTGTAAACGAACACAGTCACTTGCTCGAACCGATTAGATTAACCGCATATGGGGAAATAAAAACAATGCGATTTTATCACCGCAGGCTCACACTGGTTTGGTGTATGTTGCCGGAGAGGCTTTATTTTTGTGTAGAGTGATTTTTTTTTTATCATATCGATTATTTTTTAAGCATTATCTAGTGTCAAAAAAAGATTTTTAAAGTTATGACTGAATATTCGCCTATTTTTAGAAGTGAGTATTGGGTGGAATTTATCATACGAATATGCTGCACCTATCAGTTGCAAAGATTACACAATTGCATGCTGATATCGGATTTATGACATATGCATTAGACAGTTTTTCTACTCATTTTTCAAATGCTGAGTGTAGTGAAATGTGAGAAGTTGGATTGTGAAAAGTATGACGGTTTTTTAATTTTGAAAAAAAGAAAGATAATATTCAAATTTTCAAAAACTGTTGAAATTTGAATTTTTAAAATCTTTTAAAAGTTGAATTTTCAGAAACCGTTAAAATTTGAATTCAAAAAGGCCGTTAGCATTGAAAATATAAGACTTTGAATGATATGGATGGCAATTAATAGAATTTCATCCTTCCGATTCAACAATATCTTTTACATTGTAGACGAAAAACAATCAAAAACTCACAATCATTTTACAATTTAAGTAAATAACTGGAAAAACAAACAAAACCGGTCTCGTTGCGAACAGAAAACCCCGCAAATAAGCATTAATTTAATAATTTTTAATTACTTATTAAGCACGGCTCATCACAGCTTTGAAAATTAGTAAAATTATCACAGAAGAATTTAAACAGATGTTGATGAATTTAAAGTAAAGGCTGTTGAAGAATTTGAGAAGTATAAAAACTACGTCTGTTCACATAAAACCCCCTTTCCCTCCCCTAAAAGCATTACGCAATAAGCGAACGACTCCCTAAAGTTTCAAAAAGAGTTTCTCAGTCTTATTGTTAGATGAATGTCATTTATGAGTGTGATTTGTAGAATAATCGATAATCACCCTACTTAATGAAAACTTACGAAATCAAGAAGAAAACCAAGAAAATACACACGAAAAAATAACAATAAAATACTTTATAACCCACAAAAAATAGCTCGAGACAATTTACAAACTTTAAACAAAAAAATCAAGTTTTTCGGAAAATATTTTACAGTCCAAAAAGAGATAAGACTGAGCTCAACTGACAATTCTCAAAGAATCAAGACAAAAAAGCTTCTTGCCGTACATGCTTAAAAGCTTACATTTGTGAGAACTAAAAAAACTAATCATGACTCGGCCACAGCGCAAATTCATTTGAGTAAACCTTACTCTTACTTAGCTCACGAGCAATAAATCTTTTGTAATGAAATAGAGAATGAGTCGAAACGATTATTATCGCATATAAATCCAAACACTCATGTTAAATTCTCATTTGAGTTCTTACTGTGATTCTATAAACATTAAATCGCTTTCTAAATGAATTGAGTTTTTTTACAATATTTAATTTTACCAAATGTTATCGGAAGCAATCTCATAACAATTTAATTTGGACACAAAAAAATGATTGAGCGAAAAAGTGAAATTGAATTAAAAATGAAAAAAAGTGAGAAAAATAATAATTTTTTTTTTAAACTTCAAAACATGTAATTTGTTGTACATTAAATGTTATCTCTTGTTCTGAAACCTACCGAATTGTAATTTTTTTCTATTGAAGAACTTGAAAATTTAACATTTTTCTTGAGATTCAAATTTGGTCTTTTGAACTGAAATGAAATGAAAGTTTTACTGAACAGTTTTGTTAATTTGCAACTTTAATAGAATTGAGAAGTTCATCAAAAGAAATTTAATGCATATTCTATGATTATTAAGTGCTGTGCTAATTAAGATCCATTAAAATGGTGAGACTCGCCAATTTTTCACTCGAAAAAGAAAAATATTCAAGATTGATTTTAAGCATTTAATAAGTTTAACTCCTTTACATCAATTATGTTGGTTTTAGCAACGATGTAAGTAACGTCACAAATCAGCAATCAAACATCCAATGAATGATACAATCGAACCTTAGCTTCAAATAATTAGTATTATGTCTCTGACATCCCAATTGACACGAAGTAGCTTAGTAAATCCTTATGATATGCAAACTGAATGTGCAAACGTCCAGGGGGGGGGGGGGGGGATTCCAGGAAATCCGTTGTTCTTTTTTGAAAAATGAAAATGAAGTGGCAACAGTTTGAAATGCAAACTGAGTGCTTGTGTATTACTTTTGAGACTTCACTTTGACTAAGTTGATGATAAAGAAAACCAAAAGTAAAGCTATTTTTAGAGTCCAAACTTTATTACACAATCATAGCCAATAAAGCACCCGCAAAAGTACAAGATAATTAATTGGTAAAATGAAATTTTTGTCAAAGATACAAGCTTACTACTTTGTTAAGAGATAGAATTTCCAATAAAAGTACTGCCGAAAAATGGTAAACAAAATAAATTGATGGACTCGGAACTTAAAAGAACCAAATTTTCCGCTTCATTTTATTTTTCACACCCAATTTGACTAACGAAACATGAATAACAAATTATTGTAAATTGATAATGAATTATGAATCAGTGGAAGTAAATCTTCTTTTTTTTCTCGGTAATACCACAAATTGCTCAACAAGTGGCGGAAGCATGTATAGGCAAAAAATAGTACATCGCAAATTAATAGCTAGAGACACCAATGTCACTTTTAAGTACGCTTATCGACACATTCTATCCTTAACATTATTACATTATCAGCACCGAAATAATCATAATTAAATTATGAAGAAAACAAATAATTTTTTAAAGTGGCCTGTTCGTTGATAAGACAGTTGAGTCTTCATGTGCATGTGTGATTTTGGGACATAAGGCGCATTTGGAGTCTGGGTTATGGAGCTTCATGTAGTGAAGCTTTATGTAATGCCATGGTAAGTCTTCTATGGCTGATTGTATACAACAGATTAAAAATCTAAGCATCTTTGGTTCGATTCTCACCACAGAACAATCTCTCAAGTGACTATCATTATTGCAGTGTCCATTAGACTTAGAGGAACTAGATCTTGCAATTCAAAAAACTATCTCTCATTTATAGACACTTTCAAGTCAATAATCAGGAAATAAGACGATCTAAACTCAATTCTCGATCAAGTACAGCTGATAATCCCTTACTCAATTCCTTTGTCTAAGAGAAGGCACTTCCAATGAGTAAGCATTTATTTTTATTCACAGTCTACAAATGATGATCCCATATTTCACAAATAATAATGAAAAAGAGACAAATAATCAAACTATGGCAAATACAAAGCATACAGTGCCTATAAACAAACATCACACAATTATGTGAGCACATGATAGGCACAAACATTTGTTTCTACGTCAAGTTTTTTTAAAGTTGCAATATTTTGTTTTGTTTGTAAAGTCGCGT